TTGAAGTATACAAACATCAGAAAGTACAATGCCGTCCAATTGCAAAAAGAAATGAATGAACTTGAGAGGAGAGAGAGGGAAAGAAGAAGAAGAAGTAAGAAAGAAGTAAGAAAGAAGAAGAAGATGATGTACTCCAGCATAGACCAATGACAAACCTCTTCTTCCTGTCCAACCAATCTCCTCCTCCTTATATCCTCCCCTCTTATTCAAACAAGAAATAACAATAATAATGTTGAATGGCTGAACCAGAATCAATGTCCGAATCTCACTTCTACTGCAGGTACAACATGAGGTTCACCATAGCCATGGCCACCATTCCTCTTCCTCTACATACAGGCCGAGGCTATGGCGGAGTACTGAGGGCTCACCCTCCTGTCCAAAGGACAAGCCAAAGCAGCTATGTCGCTGCCCTTCTGTCCCCAGGTCAACTCCATGCAGCTATGCCGCTGCCCACTCAACCGCCATGCCTGACTCTGTCCCGAGCTTCCTTGATGCGGCACTACCCCACTGGGGCCTTCCAGATGCAGTGCCTAAGAAGGTGATGAAGATGGTGTCTACCATAGCCAGGTAAGTACCCCGCCACTCTCCTCCTTGGTCCCCTTCTCCCTCCTCCTCCTACCGGTAGAGCTCCACCATAGCCAAGGTGGAAGCTCCCGGGTCCAGACTCCAGAGTCCTTTACATAAGTACCCACTCAACACTTCCTCCCGTTATGGTTGAAGAAAGCCATGATTCCTTCCAATATGGAAGGATTTACCTCTGCTCCACCTCTGTTCCTCCCTGTGGGACTTGCTCTCAAAAGTCTGGGACTTGGTGATTCTGCAATGCTCCTCTCCGCTGTACGGGGTTCCGTGATTTCGTCATAATCTACAAGTGCAGTCAGCGGAAGAGTAGGCCGTCTTTCCTATGTCCTGTATCCGCCTCAACCGTCTCCCGTTCTGGCTGAAACACAGGCAAACAAGGAAAACGTGTAATGGCGGCATAAGTGTTAAGCACTGTGTGTGTGTGTGGGAAGTGTATGTCGTATCTTATGCATCCTCGTTGGGCGGGGCGGGGGGTTGCCTCCTGTTTGTGCAGAACAAAATGATGCAATACTGTACCCCTAGTGTTGCCTGCTGTTTGTGTCAAATAAGACATTGAAGACAATGTAATGCCGCTTAGGCTGTTGATAACTGTGTGTGTGTGTGGGAAGTGCTTTGTACCAGACTGCATCATTGTTAAATGGGCAAGCGCTTTGTCTACTGTTTGGGGAAAACAACAGTAGTTATTATCATAGCCTTTTTTGTCGAGTGCCGTTTGTGTGAAACAAACCATGCAATGCTGCTGAAAGTGTTTGTAACTGTGTGTGTGGGAAGCGCACGCCATATCCTGAGCAACCACGCTTCGTGCCACAATGCAAAAACCTTCAGTGAAAGGGGTGGGGGCTTGCCTGCTGTTTGTCCGAAGCAAAATTATGTGATGTTATGCCCCTTGTGTTTGTATAAAACAAGATCATCTAATGCTGCTTAAGTGCTAATACCTCTGTGTGTGTGTGTGTGTGTGTGTGTGTGTGTGTGTGTTGGAAGTCTACTGTCGTATCCTCAGTGATCAACCTTCATACCAGAACGCATCCTCGTGGAACGCGGTGGGGGTTCGCCCCTTGTGTTTGTGCAGAACAGAGTGATAAAATATTGTACCCTTTTTAGTTTCCAGGGAGCTTTGAATGTTCGGGAAGAGCTAAGTTTCCAGGGAGCTTTGAATGTTCGGGAAGAGTTAAGTGCTACTCCTCGTAATTGTTGCATGCATGCAGGTGTGTATGTCTGGGTGCAAGATATCCGCCATCATGCTTCACTGTACTTTTTCCCTGGTCCATCGGCATCCGTTGGGGTCTCTGACTGTTTGTCCATGTGGTCGTAGGTCCTAACTGATCGGTGCTTTCCATGGTCGTGAATCGTGGCCATCCCTTTTTATTGAAGTACCAAATCGGGATTACTGGTTCCAGCCTCCAGGGCCTGAACTGAGGTTACCAGTACCGCAGGCAAGGGGCGGTTCGTGGAGCTGATGGTTTGCAGTACACGATCCCTAGGTCTGTGTCTCCTCATACGTTAGTGGATCGAGTCTGCATTTGTGTCTATCCCTCCCTTGTACCTATAGACTGAAGTCCGTAAATCATTACGTCTGTTTTTCAGGTCGTATCTCAGACTGGACGCTGATGCGTGATTACTGGGCCTGTTATTTGTTGGTGGGTCGAGGCCCAGCCATGTCCATTGCTTCCTGAACCTGTCCTGTGTCCATTCCAGCTGTTCTTCTCTGGTCCTGTTCGTCTTGGTCTTCGCTTGCCTTGTTCCTCCTTGTGTGTGTGTGGTGTGTGTGTGTGTGTGTGTGTGTGTGTGTGTGTGTGTGTGTGTGTGTGTGTGTGTGTGTGTGTGTGTGTTTGCGCTCACAGATGTCTACGTGTGTGTGTGTGCATGGATGTATGTGTGCGTTCGGGTACGTGCATGGATGTATGTGTTTGTGTGTGCGTGATGTGTGTGAGTGCATTTACGTCTGTCTTCAGCGCCTCACTGTGTGCACCATCCTATCCCACTCACGCAGGGGGGAAAGCTTACCCCGGAACAGTTAACAGAGTTGGGCAATTCCCACTGCAGAACACCTCTTAGTTGGAGAGGCTACTGTCGTTTACGTGTTAAGGCAGAAGCCGCAAGGCAAGCCAGACAGCAGGGCCAAAAGAAGTAAGGCAAGAGGCAGCAAGGCAAAGGACAGAGAAGCAAAGGGCAGGGAGGCAACAAGGCGTTGGACAACAAGCAGCAGCAAGGCACATAGGCTTGAGGGCATGGGGGAGGCGGGTGGGCAGACAAACAGCAAAAGGCAGCGAACCAAAGGGTGGCAAGGCAAGGAAGGAAACAGCAGCGAGGCAAAAGAGCAGCAAACAAGAGCAATACCAGAACAAACGAACAAAGGGCGGAAAAGTAAAACTGATGATGATAGATTGTTTCTACGGACGTGCACCAAGGCTGAACCCTCGACAATCTGCGGAATCGCCATATTGATGCTTTAGGGTTCATGACCCTTTGACCCTTGTTGAGAGCAGACTGCGTGCAGGCAACATCACAAGTGGAACATAGTAGCAGGCACCGACTCAGCAAAGCACCAGGCGATGCTACAAGGGCAACCCAACCCAACTGCACAATGGCAAAGCTAACTGCATGGAATGACAGCACAAGCGGGCGGGCAGCAAGGCAACAACACATCAACAAAGCGGCCAAACTATACAGCACGAAAGCAAAATGCATGGGAAGACAAGGCACGTGTGGACAGGCAACAAACAAGGAAGTAGCGAAGCACAAGGCAACACTAACAAGGCAACCAGACTAAACAGCAAACAGACCAGCTGCAGGGAAAGACATTGCAAGTGGGTGGGCAGCAAGGCAGCGAAGGAGAGCAGACCGGGCAGTCCACACATCCAACACGGACCAAAGCAATCCATCACTTACTCACACCACAAGTCGAACCCCACACACTGTCGGTTCCCACCACCGGCTGAGCCCGGAAGAAGTCACTCCACCGAACATCTGTCATCACCCATAGAAAACACTGACATCGTGAACTGAGAAGGCCCCTAATAGTGCTGCAGGCACTCCAGATGAGGAACAACCGACTATTTGACGCTGCTTGGAGGACCTCGCCTAGATATATACAGAAAATAGCAAAAAGAGAGAACATACATAAACTGATTGTGTATGTGTTTTGAATTTGCACCACAACCGCCCCTATTCCACCCAGATGGGTAGATCCAAAATGGAAGTAACTTCAGTCCTGTTGCACACAACAGAAGCACTAGGACATCCAACAATGAAACAGTTTTACCTCTATGAGTCTTAAGGCAAGCAACGCGCAGCATAATAGAAGCGTTTAAAGTTTAAATCCCTTTCTTAACTCTTTTTACTTTGCCTTTCTTTGGAGTACCCCTTCCATTTGTTCTTGCAATGTGCCTCTCATGTACAAGGCTTGCCACATTGATTGTGGTTGAGTGCGAGCTGCTCACAGGGGGTTGTCAGTTTTGTAACATTCCTCTATAAGAAAAGAAAGGGGAACCCTACAGGCCGATTAAAACCCAGAGAGAAATCTTCCCACCGAAAGTGCGCGAACCAAAGTCGAAAGAGGAGGTTTTGTGACAACTGCTATTCTGGAACTGTAGTATCAAGGACCAAGAAGGGAAACCCTGGACTGTCGCGAACAAAGACTCCAGATGGGAATAATGGCTGGAAAGAGGTGTCTGGCAGGTCAAACATATTTGGAGCGAACAGCTGAAAAGATGGAAAACTCGCACAGAACTCAGGGGCGCGCTGAGAGGCTCTCACAACTTGCAGGCAAATGTGAATCACATTCTGATATCGATCCCTTCTGATATTGATCCCAGCGGAGTCCACAACTCTCCTGAAATCACCCACCACATGGCAACAGGGGGACTGGGCAACCTGGAAGGAGTCAAAACCAACGAAAGCCTTGGCCTTCCTTTGTGGCCTTGGCCTTCATCACAAAGGAAGGCCCGGGTAATATCTGGTTAAACCAATTGTCCGGGGGCTTACCAAAAATAATAATAATAATAATAATAATAATAATAATAATAATAATAATAATAAAATTTTCCCAGCCATTTTGCAGAAACATGCCCTGCATGCTGGCGCGAGCGGCGGGATGCACCGGGGTGCCGTTTCACCCAAACTCCTCCCAGGCAAAACGGGTTGCGTGCGAGGCCCGATTTGGCTGGATGGATTTTGGGCGAAACGGCACACCGGTGCATCCTGCCGGACGTGCCAGCATGCACGGCGTGTTTCTGCAAAATGGCTGGGAAACGTGCCGATCGTTTAAGAATGTCGGTGCACGGCATTGGAGAACTGGAGGGCACTACAAGCAAGATGAGCAAAACAATGGGCATGCAGCTATTGGACAAGCACCACCTCGTACGTAAACTAAGAGTCGTTGAAAATGATGAATTCAAGGTATTTGCCCAACATGTACACCAATACAAGAACCAGATATGGACCCAATGAAACGGGCGTGGAAACTGAGAACGGGGAGGGCCAATGTCGAGCAAAGATGGATATCGCACAGTACACGATAAAGACTGTGATACTGACTTAGCAAAAGGTCACAGAATACAGCCGTGGTGCTAAACCAGAGATGCGAAAAACCTATAGATAATAGATCAGCCTGGCAATTTTCCGCAAAATCCCCTGGGTCCTGGGATGCAATGCTTGCGATCAAGTGTACGCAGATGAAAAGTGTCAAACGGCTACTCGCATACCGGTCAACCAATGGCTTAAAGCAACCAGTACATGGGCACCTGGGCTGCGGGCCTGACACCTTGAATTCTGGAGGCGCAAAACGAAAACACGACCGCTGATCTAATTTATCAACGACAGGCCAAGTGTTTGACGTTTCGGCCTCGTTTTCTTGTGGCGACAACTGCAAGGCTGCGGCCGTGTACACCGTCCTCACCCGAATAAAACGCCCGGTAACTATTGCCGTATCTGGGCTGAAAGTTGTGCCAAATACAGCTATAATGACTGGGCGTTATATTCAGGTG